TATATATATATATAAACCCCAAACCCTAAACCCTTGTAAACCCTAAACCCTAGGAGCTGTAGGCAGTAGTTCGTTTCTTCTGCAGCTAAACCCTAAACCCTAAACCCTCACTAAACCCTACTATAAACCCTAAACCCTAAACCCTAAACCCTAAATTAGATTCTCTCGATGAAAGACAAAAAATAAAAAATAAAAAAAACTGCGCATACAGCTGGGCAGTTGTAAAAAACAAAAAAAAAAATGAGGGTTTAGGGTTTAGGGTTTAGGGTTTAGGGTTTAGGGTTTGCTCCTAGTAATATACGCCGCGAGAGAGCATCCACAGAGGAGAGAGCCTACAACAAAACACACAAAAATTAGGGTTTAGGGTTTAGGGTTTAGGTCAGCAGAAAGGTGAGGAAATCTAACTGCTGCTGCTGCTGCTGCTGCTGCTGTTGGTGCTGCTGCTGTTGCTGTTGCTGCTGCTGCTTTAGTCTTCTACTTCTACTGCAGCAGCAGCCGCAACAGCAACAGCTGCAGCAACAACCACCAAAACAGCAGCAACAACAACAACAACAGCAGCAGCACCAACAACAACAGCAGCACCAGCAGCAGCAGCAGCAACAGAAGCAGCAACAGCAGCAGCAGCAGCAGCAGCAGCAGCAGCAGCAGCTTTAATTTACTTCATTGGTTCTATTAGATGTTGAGTTTTCGCTGCGCGACGAAAAAGGAGTTGCTAGACATTCTGCTGCTGCTGCTGCTGCTGCTGCTGCTGTTGCTGCTGCTGCTGCTGCTGTTGCTGCTGCAGTTGGGCTTGTTAGAGAAGGAGATAAAGAAGGGCGGATGAACTGCTGCTGCTGCTGCAGTTGCTGCTGCTGCTGCTGCTGCTGCTGCTGCTGAGTCTCTTCAAAGCGAAACAAAGGCAACGCAGCTGCTGCCTGCTGCAGCGTTCTGCTGCTGCTGCTGCTGCTGCTGCTGCTGCTGCTGCTGCTGCTGCTGCTGCTTGCGGGGGCCGAAGCAATGAAGGGCCTCGCCTTTGCTCTTTCTGCTATTTGTTGTATTCTCGCGGAGAGTTCTTGCTGCTGCTGCTGCTGCTGCTGTTGCTGCTGCTGCTGCAGCTGCTGCAGTGTTGCTGCTGCGCTGCTGCTGCTTCGGCTTGAAGGGGAGACAGCAACGGAGACAGTACTGAGTCTTGCTGCTGCTGCTGCTGCTGCAGTTGCTGCTGCTGCTGCTGCAGTTGCTGCTGCTGTTTCTTCTGCTGCAGTAGGTGAATCCAAAGACAACTGCTGCTGCTGCTGCTGCTGCTGCACCAACAGCTGCTGCTGCTGCTGCTGCTGCTGCTGCTGCTGCATGTGTGCGTCACAGTCTTGTATATACTGCAGCACGAGGGGGTCTACCTGAGCAGCAGCAGCTTCTGCTGCTGCTGCTGCTTGGCATCCTTTGTCTGTTGTGTTTCGTGCTGCTGCTTGCTGCAGCAGGAACAGCTGCTGCGCGATGCTGTCTCTTAGTTTTATTTCGTTGTCTCTTTGTTGTTTTATCTCTGCTGCTTCTTGCTGCTGCTGCTGCTGCTGCCGCTGCAGCTCCTCTATCTCCCGCTGCAGTGCATATATCTGCTGCTGCTGCTGCTGCTGCTGCTGCTGCTGCTGCTTCTCACCTTCAGCTACACGCTCCAGCAACCGACCCATACGCTCCTTGTGTCTGCGCGCAAACCCTAAACCCTAAACCCTAAACCCTAAACCCTAAACCCTAAACCCTAAAATTCTAAACCCTAGAGTATATAATATCTACACCTTAAGCACTTCGTCGTAAACCCTAAACCCTAAACCCTAAACCCTAAACCCTAGTATTTCATTTGCTTGTATTATCTATCTATATATATTCCCCCTCCATACATTATTCTAGGGTTTAGGGTTTAGGGTTTAGGGTTTAGGGTTTACGTTTGTATGAGAGCATCTCTATCTGCTGCTGCTGTCTGCTGCAGCTCATTTATTATTTCTTCGTATTTTGTTTTTGTTTTTTTTAATTGAGCAGCAAAAGAGT